TAGACAGAAGATTATTATTATTTTCATCACAGTTAATTAAGTAGGAACGCAGAGATTGAAGTACATCTCGAAGATAATAAAAACAATACACAGACTTGCTGTTGGTTATTAACAAACATACCTTTTAAAAAAAAGGTAAAAAAGGCGTGTGCTTATCGAAAAACACTATTTATATGGTAAAACCTAATATGATAAAATCTGAATGATAAGTTGCTTTCCATTTGATGACACAAGTCGGCACAAATTGATACAAGTGTCGTTCTATGTTATTAAATGGAAAGCAACCAGTATTAAAAAAAATTGCTATACCAAATTATTAAAAAGTACAACCTAAGTACTACTATCTATAAATGAGGCATTTATCAAGTGGCACTATCATTATTATTTACTTATTATTTATTTATTTAAAATATTTCATTTGTATAAAAGATTTGATATTAACAACAGGCGCCAAGATAAATTTTACCAAACTAATAAAAAGTAAAATCCTAGTGGTACTATCTTTATCAAGTTAAATTCTACCAAATTAAGAAATAAAACCCAAGTGGTACTATCTTTGTTATTTTTACTTAACTCTAATATGTCTTGTGTATAAAAAATTTGATATTAACAACAGGCGCCAAGTTATTTATTTATTAATTTTAATGGTATCTATTATAAAATTTAGTTAACTCTAATAATATGTGTCATGTGTATAAAAGGTTACCCCTCAAATTAAAAAGTGGTACTACCTTTATTATTATTTTTACTTAACTTTAATGATATGTATTATGTGTATAAAAGATTTGATATCAACAACTGGCGCCAAGTTAAATTTTACAAAATTGTATGTACATAATCTCTACAAATTAATTTATTATTGGTAACCTCTGTATATTATTTTATTAATGTACATTATATTATTCTTAAATTAAGAGAAATAATCCTGTTTTTGAATCGACTCTTGATGCTTGAATACTTCAGTGTGAATTTATATACATATCCAATTCTATAAACTACACGCCGTAATCTTTTTCAGTCTTGAACGCAATCATGAACAGAACTGGTAGAAATATTACATATTAAATTGACAAGTAATTTAATAATATTTAATAATGTCTAAGATTTGCTTCGACAAAAAATTAAGTTATTATTCTATTGATTTATTCTCGGTCTAATAAAAGTTAAAATTATATTATTCTTATTATATTATTATTTACAGATCATATATTTGCGTACTCCTTATTACAACAAGCAATAAAAGACACAAATAAAAACAAGGAGCATATTGTTATATTAATAGCACCTCGTGTTGGTTGCTTTTTCAGGATGTCCCTGTGCGCACTATGTGCAGTGCAGTTTTCTCGTTGATCCAGATCTTTCCTTGTTGTTATACTGGAATATGTGATGACTTCTCGCTTCGCTTTGTTACAATAACTTTATTCCGATTACATCTACTTTAATCTCGTTCTAATGGCTAACGCCGCACGCTGTTGCACGTTCTATTACTCGTGGTCGCAATGGCAATCAATTGCTCTTCCTTTCCCAAGCGGCCGCAGCACGACTCGGCCCGCGCATGTCTACGCGACGCAAGCGCGCATGAAGAGAGGACGTCGGCACACGCCGCGCACAATTTCTGAATGTTTAACTTATCTCGCGATAACATACCGCCCTCCTTGAGAGGATCATCTTTCAACATAAAAACAGAGTAACGTACCAACTACTAACCTAACGGAGCTAGAGTAATTAATATAAGCATTTAGATATAATTAAACTAGTAAATAAAAGACTATATGATTGAATAGAGAGAAGACAAAAAAGGGGTGAAAGTGAGAGCACGGATTTCAAGCACGGTCAAATCCTAGTCTTCCATTGGCAACAGGCATAAACGAGTAATAGGCCGTTTGTAACTACCATTCACAGTTCGCACCATAGCGACTCGAGCAACGCCGTCCTTGCCAGGATGTATCTCCTGGATTCTGCCCAAAGACTATGGCAACGGAGGCCTATTGTCGTCCTTGATAATCACCATTTGGCCCACATGAATAGACGCATCTTGAGTTTGCCACTTATTACGATCTTGACATTGCTGGAGATATTCGTGAGACCAACGCTTCCAAAAGTGCAACCGTAATTGCTGTAAGTATTGCCATCGGGTTAGGCGATTTACTGGGATCCCTTCAAGTGATGGTTCGGGATATGCAGTGAGTGGAGTACCTGTTAAAAAGTATCCAGGAGTTAGTGAAGCAAAGTCATTGGGATCTGTTGAAATGGGAGTGAGTGGACGGGAATTGAGAATGGCTTCGATTTGTATGAGCCAGGTTTCTAGTTCCTCATATCTCAAGTTAGCATCTTTCACCATTCGAGTCAGATGCCGCTTAGCAGCCTTAACCGCCGCTTCCCATATCCCTCCATGGTGCGGCGCCCGAGGTGGTATAAAGTGCTAGCGAATTCCCAAATTCGTGGCCTGTTCTTGAATTTGCTGCTGAGTCGTTTGATTCTTGAATAATTCTACTGATTCTCTCAGCTCTCGCTCCGCTCCTGCGAAGTTTGATCCGTTGTCGGAGAAAATGTCTGAAGGGCAACCTCTTCTTGCAATAAAACGTCGAAAAACTCCTAAAAATGCTTCAGAGGAGAAGTTAGACGCTAATTCAACGTGAACAGCCTTGGTAACGAGACAAACTAAAATAGCAATACAACATTTGACTAGCTTGAGGCTTCTCCTTGCACCCTCCTTATAGTAAAGAGAACCCGCATAATCCACTCCGCATTGATCAAATGGCTTAGTGCAAATTCGAATCCGTGGTTCGGGTAAATTACCCATAATAGTAGAAGCAGCCTTCGGCGAGCTTCTAAAGCAAGTGACGCACTTTCGCAGGATCCTTTTAATGGTGCTGCGGGCTAAAATGATCCAATACTGCTCTCGAATGGCGGCTAAAGTAGCCTGTGGCCCTGCATGCAAATGATTTGCATGTTCATGACTAACAATCAGATTGGAAAACGGATGCTTCCCAGGCAATAATATTGGGTGCTTGGCTGCATATGACAAAGATGATTCCTTTAATCGACCTCCTACGCGTATCATGCCGGACTTAACTATGAATGGGTTTAACCTCAATATGGGACTATTAATTTGGACGGTTCCCTTGTTATTCAGAGCTTTTATTTCGTTTGCGAAGTGTTTAGCTTGTATTAGCTTGATCATGCGAGCAATTATGCATTGCTGCTCCTCCACTGAGATAGGCAGGATTATTCTTTCCTGTGACGATAAATATTCTTATGGTTGAGAAGCTGCACCCCTTCGACGCTTGGAATGATCCACGAATCGCCACATATAAGCCATGACCCTTATCAATTTGGTCAAGCTTGAGTATCGATAAAATATATCAGGCTCTTGTTCAATAGCTGTGACCGTGATGGTGACTTTGGATTTTCGCTCAGGGAGATTTTTGATTGTCGGGGTGGCGCCTTGCGGCCATTCCTCCTCGTTTTGCTTGAGCCACGGAGGCCCCTCCCACCAGATTATTAAGTGGATCAAGACACTTGGCATGATACCATGAGACAAAAGGTCGGCAGGATTATCTTCACTGCTTATGTGCCGCTATTGATGAATTGCTGTCAGTTGCTGTATCTCTCCAATGCGGTGAGCTACAAAATAAGACCATGATCGATTGCAAAATCGCAACCATGACAGCACTATTATAGAATCCGTCCATAGGTACGTAGAAGTTATGTGGCATGTAAGACAGTTGGATACCTTATTGATGAGCTGAGCCAATAGTAATGCTCCACATAATTCTAGTCGGGGGAGTGACAAGCTTTTTAAGGGTGCTACCCTAGATTTTGAGCATAGTAAACGTGTGTGCTGGATGTCATCGGCTGCTGTGGAGCGTAAATATATGCATGCCACATATGCAATGTCACAGGCATCTGAGTATCCGTGTAACTCAAGAGATGTATACTGTTCTGCTGTTATGACACGGCGACGCATGTTTACATTTTTCAGATCCTGCAATTCCGTTTCAAACCTCTTCCATCTAGTGTGCAGCTCCAGAGGGATAGACTCGTCCCAATCAACCTGGGACCGCCAGAGCTCTTGCATAATGGTCTTGGGGAGTAATGTGACTGGACCTACCAACCCCAATGGGTCAAAGATTAAAGCGATGCGTGATAGAATATTGCGTTTGGTAGGCCTCTCTAGCGGGGCTATATGATTTATAAAATAATATTTCAATGTGTCCGTTTGGCAATTCCACACAATTCCTAAAGTCCTTTTTCCAAACTCTTTATTAGCGGATAAAATAAATTCCTTTTGTTCCTTTTTAGTGTGCTGATCTTGGAAACACGGCTTGTTAGATGCCCACTTTCTCAGTTTGAATTTTCCCTCTTGCAATAATGCGGTAATCTCTGCCTTTATTGATGCAGCTTCTTCTTACGAATCAGCCCCATTGACGAAATCATCCATGTAAAAATCTCGTAGGGCTATTTCCGACGCCCTGGGATAGCGGCTCGCACCATCTTCTGCTAACTTCCTTAGTGCTCTGATTACTAGAAATGATGCCGATACGGTACCGTAGGTGACGGTCAGCAGCTCGAATGTCTTGATTGGTTGGTCTCGAGAGTCCCGCCAAAAGATCCTTTGCAATGACGTTTGCATTGCATCAACTAAAACTTGTTGATACATCTTGGTTATATCAGCCGTTAGCGCAATCTTGAACGTACGAAATCTAACCAGGATGGAGAACAAATCCTCTTGCAAAGTAGGTCCCACCATTAATGCATCATTCAGGGAGATTCCGCTGCTAGTTTTGCATGAAGCATCGAATACCACCCTGAGCTTTGTTGTAGTGCTTGCCAAGTTTCGAACGGCATGGTGTGGAAGATAACACTGGAGTCCTTAGAACCAATGGCGAGGAAATGTTTACCTCTTTCATGTGGCCTAACTTTATATATTCCTGCATGAAACCTTTGTATTCAGAGTATAGCTGAGGCTGGGTAACGAGTCGCCTTTCCAGTGACTTGAATTGCTTCAGTGCAATATCTTGCGATTCTCCTAAATTGATTAACTTGTCTTGCCTTGTCGGTAGCCTGATTATAAACCGCCCTTCGTTGTTCCGCCTTGTGTTTTGCAGAAATAAATCTTCACATTCCTTTTCTTCGGGCGAGAATGGATTCGTCGTGCCCCTATTCTCAACCTCCCAAAATTGATTCAACGCGTGTTTCAGTTCGTCAAATGCAGTTAAATGAAAGCTACATGAAGGCGCAGATTTAGCCATATCGCTTGCAACCGTGCCTGAAATGATCTACCCAAAATGTGTCTTTTGCAGGGTCGGCTGATTCTTTGCTTGATTGATTTGACCAACGCATAAAAGTTTCCAGAAAGATTCAGCCCCTATTAGAATGTCGATGTTGGCGGGCACGTTAAAGTTGGGATCAGCCAGCTTTATGTGCTTCGGAATTGACACACCTTGTGTGGATATCCAGTGTTGTGGTAAACACTGCGTTATCTTTGGCAGGACCACACAGTCCATTTTTATGCTAAAGTTATTAAAGCGCGATTTTATACAAATGCTAATTATTTTATTAACGCGAATGACCCTATCCATGGCTCCTGCCACCGCAATGTCCAGAGGTCGTTCCTCTAGTCTGTAACC